ATTTTGTCTCGTTTGACTAAGTTGACTCAAAAGATAGTAATATTCCAATAGTCTGAAGATTTTGAGAAAAGTTTTAATGAATTGAAATAGAGGTTTAGTACTACCCGAGTGTTGACCTTACGGGAACGTACACAAGGTTTTGTGGTCTACTGCGATGCTTTAAGATTTGGTTTAGGCTATTTTCTGATGCAGAATGAAAAAATTACAGCTTATGCCTCCAGACAATTGAAGGTTCATGATAAGAATTATCGAACCATGACTTAGAGTTGGTTTCCATAGTTTTTGCTTTGAAAATAAGGCATCACTGTTTGTATGGTGTTTCATGTTGACATATTCACTGATCATAAGACCCTATAATATGTGTTCACTTAAAAGGATCTTAATCTCAAAACAAAGAAGATGGTTAGAATTGTTCAACATTTACATAAGTGTTCATTACCACCCAGGTAAGGCTAATGTGGTTGCTGATACCTTAATAAGGTTGTCTATTGGTAGTACCTCACATATAGAAGAAGATAAGAGATAACTAGCAAAAGATGTGCTAGACTTTGTTACTTAGGAGTCATAATTATGGATTCCACCGAATGAGGAAGAGTGGTGACCAATGTTGCCGAATCATCATTAGTGTCATAAGTAAAACAAAAGTAAGATCAAGACCCCATTTTGCTCGACTTGAAGTCGAACGTTCATAAGCAAAGAGTATTGGATTTTGAATAAGAGGGAGATGGTGTACTGTGATTTGACAGAAGTATATTGGAGGGAAGGTATGAAGAAGGGCATTGCTGGATTTGTTTCCAAGTGCCCGAATTATCAAGAAGTTGAAGTAGCCCACCAAAGGCCTAAAGGGTTTTCTAAAAATATATAACTTCCGGAATGGAAGTAGGAGATGATTAAAATGGACTTTATCACAGGGTTACAAAGTCCTCACAGGCAACATGATTCTATTTGGGTAATTGTCGATAGAATGTCAAAATCAGTAAAAAATTTTCCGATAAAGACTACCTATTAAGTCAAGGATTATGCTAAGTTTTACATTCAAGAAGTGGTAAGACTTTGTGGAGTTCCGATCTCCATTATTTAAGATATAGGCTTACAATTTACTTCTTAATTCTGGAAGTCTTTCAAGAAAGGTTTGAGTTTGAAGGTGAACTTAAGCACTGCTTTTCTTCCTCGGATGGATGGGTAAGCAGAGCGTACTATCCATGACTTAAACGATATATTGATGGCTTGTGTGATTGATTTCAAGGGAAATTAGGATGATCACCTACCTCTCATTGAGTTTTCTAAAAAAAAAACAACGATTGTGCGAGCTTACAGATGGCTCCATATGAAGCTCTTTATGGGAGAAGACGGAGATCTCGTATTGGGTTGTTCAAAGTTGGTTATAGGTCTAGAACTAGTTCACTAAGCCATGAAGAAGGTGAAGCTGATTCAAGAAAGATTGAAAACAAAATAGAGTCATCTAAAGTCGTATACATATGTTAGGAGAAGGCCGTTGGAGTTTGAAGTGGATGATTGGGTATATCTAAAAGTTTGTTAGTTTTGTTAAGAAGGGGAAACTTAGTCCCCGATATATTAGCCCTTATAGAATATCAAAGAGAATTGGTACTGTAGCTTATGAGTTTGAGTTAACACAACAGTGAGCAGTAGTTCATTCGGCATTTCATATCTCCATGTTGAAGAAATGCACAGATGATCCTTCATTGACTGTATCAACTAAAAATGTTGTTATTAAGGATAGCTTATCATATGAAGAGATTTTGGTTCATATTTTAGATTGCCAAGTTCGTAAGTGAGAACAAATGAAGTTGCGTTAGCCAAGATCCTTTGGAGGAAAAAATATGTTAAATAAGCAGCTTGGAAAGCTGAGAAGGATTTTAGGAAAAGATATCCACATCTGTTTGAATCTAGAGAGAATTCATGTCATGGTACTAAATCTCTTCTTGGTACATTATAAACTAGGAGTAAGCATGTTGTTACATTATTTTGATTGTTGAGTATTAAACTTGATATTACTATTCTTAGCTTAGTGAAAGAAATATCATTCGAGGAAGAAGCTCCCAAGGGGAAGATAGTGTAACATATCATAACTCGAAATAGCTAGGAGTAAGATAAGAAACTAAAAATAATCACTTTTGGAAAGAAAGGGAAAATCTGGAATTTTTTTCTATGTTTAAGAAGTGAGATTTGGTAATTTTAAATTGAGAACTCCTAGCTCAGGATGAGTTATAAGTAGTTCTTTAAATGGTTTGAAAGTCGTTGAAGAGATCTTTACAACGCCCACGAGTTTCCACATTTTTGATATCTTATGATATAGATATGTCTATCTGATGTTGGTCCATTAGATTGAGGAAAGTACCAATCCGGGTTTAAGAAAGGGAAAACTCGTCTTTTCTCCCATTTATTTCCCATTTCATGTAAGGGATTTATTTGGGGTAAATATAAGTTTCAGTTCAGATTAGAAAATTATTTTATGCTTAGAGCTTGGAAAAGTGTCACGACCCGCAAGTACACCGTAGAAGAAAGGATCACTCTTGAGTCGTCATAAGGCGTACTTGAGCCTTTGGATGTCTTATACAAGACTTTTGGATGTCATTCATTACATATGATATGAAAACTAGTGCGGGAATAAAACTTTTAATAAGAATAATAATAAGAAGCTTTCTATAAATACTAGGGAGTAAGTCTCATCATCACAGGCCAACTTAAACACAACTTAAAAATCTTAGGGTCACAATCCTTTACATTGAAAGAATACATTTAAGTATTATACAAGTCTTAATGAAAAACTCAAGCCACATAGACTATGTCCTTTAATATATAAGGACATACTGAGTCTTGAGAGAGTCAACTTCCCAAGGTTTGCCTTCTAAACTTCCACTTACCTCTAAACTATACTTATAGAGTATAGATAAGTATGATGTTAGTACAAACAATGTACTATGTATGACATTTTAGTTGAAATGAGACGTTCATGCTATTTAAGTAAAACCTTCATGAATATAGTAATAAAAAAATATATAAATCATCATTTAACATATAAGGTAAAACTCCCATAATTTTTAACACAAGACCACAACTTACAGTGACCTCGTTTCATTACATTTTACAGTGAACCTATATCCCTTGAAGTTTCCATATTCAAAGTTATCCTAAGACACATTAAAGTAAGACATCAAGGGACCGCCCATACAATCCCTTCAATGCACACCTAAGTGTTCCTTAAGACTACCAACGATAGGCTTACTTCACAACACTTAACAAGCCTTCACCACACTTTACAAGCCAACATCCAATATCAAAGACACTAGAGGTACATACCTACATTTAAGGACTTTACATAAGAACCCTTCGCTTCTCTTAAGATTTTAAAAAACCTATTTAAGCTAAATAACACCTGGAACCAAAGTCTGCACCTAAAACATAAAGGCGGAAGAGAACAAAATCGAAGCAGAAGAAGAGCTAATATATTAATGCTTCATATTAGATTTATAACAGCCTAGAATGATAAGTAAAAATAATAACACATGATCTAGCAGTTACTAAACAACTCCTAAATAATATGAAAGCATGACTAATAAATCATGACTTAGTCTTACTTAAAACATAGACAGTAAAATTAAATTTACTGTAATTCAAAAGCAAATTCCTAACACTTCTCCTTGCTTTGGATACTGCAAACTCCAATTTTCTTTCTAAGAAGCTCGAATATGTTGATCGGTAAAGGCTTAGTAAACAGATCTTCTATCTAGATTTCAAAATTGCAGTAGACTAGAGTCACTTCTCCCCTTTGTTTTGGTTTTTTTTTCTGAGGAATCAAACTTAATGAAATGCTTGGTATTCTTGTGACACACTAAATTATTTGAGATTGCAATAGTTGCTTAGTTTTCGACTAGAATGATAGTAGTTTCCTTTTGTTCCAAATGTAAATCATACATGATGTTTATAAGCCATAAGACTTGGTTTCCTGCTCCTGTTGGTGCTATGAATTCAGCTTTTGCAGTTGACTGTGGAACAATTTCCTGTTTCTTAGATGACCATGAGAGTATTCCTTAACCTAGGCTGAAACAATGGCCACATGTACTTCTCATATCATCTGCGGATCCAGCCCAATCACTATAGGAGAATCCTAGTAACTTGAAGCTTGGACACTTCTCAAACTTTACCCCATAGTCAATAGTACATTTGATATATCCTAATATTCTTTTTGCTGCTCTTTTAAATGCATTTCACTTGCATAGTGCGTAAAATGAGATAAGAGGCTTTCAACAAATAAAATATCAGCCCTTGTTGCAGTGAGATACATTAACCTCCAATAAAGATTCTATAATAACTTTCATCAGCTTTGTCGGCTTCATCTTCTTTCTAGAGATTCTCTTTTTGAATCATTGGCATGCTCATTAACTTGAATTCCTCCATTTGAAAGTTCTTTAGAATTTCCTTTGCTTATTTCTTCTGGCAAATGAACACTTCACATTTTCTTTGTTTGATTTCCATTCATAGAAAACAGGTCATAAGAACAATATATGTCATTTCAAAAACTTGCATCATTTCTTCTTTGAACTCCTCAACCAGCCTTGTATTATTTCATGTTACCAAGAAGATAATCAACATAAAGAGATATAAGGATATAAGTGTCTTTATGTTTTACATATAGAGTCAATTCAAACAAGATTTTTTGAAAGCCCAAGCTCAACAGATGATCATCTATCCTACTATACCAAGCTCTTGGTGCTTGCTTTAGGCAATACAAAGCCTTTTTTTGCAGATAGACTTTGTCTTCATCACCGCGTTTCACAAACCCTGATGGTTGCTCAACATATATTTCCTCTTCTAGTATGCCATTTAAGAAAGTTGATTTTTATCAAATTGTAACACCTTCCATTCCATTTCTGATGCTATTGTGAGTAGCAATCTGATTGTGTGTAATCATTCAATAGGAGAAAAAGTGTCAGAGTAATCGATACCATTAATTTGTTCATACCCTTTAACTACAAGCCTCACCTTGTATTTGTTGATGGAACTTCTGCATTTAACTTTGTTCTGCAGACCCATCTCACACCAATGACTATTCTATCATCAGGTTTGTTGACCAGCATACAAGTTTTATTTTTCTCAATCATGGAGATATCCTCCTCCATTGCTTTCTTCCATTTTGGGTCTTGCAAAGCTTCTACCGGACAAGTAGGTTCATAGATGGAAACATTACAACTCTGATAGATATATAACAACAATTTTCTCCCCTTGACTGGATGATCATCTTCTAGTTCTTGCCTCCAGTATTCATTTTTTGTTCTCCAGGAGCACTGATGTTTGCTTCTAAAGAGCATCTTCCTGATTTATGAGAGCTCTTCCTGTCCCACTGATCATTCTTATTAAAATTAACATCTCTCGTAATTGTCATCTTTCTTTTTTGAGGATGATAAACCTTGTAGGCTTTAGAAACTCCACTATAACCCACATGGATGCCTATGACCGATCACCTTTTTGTCAAGTTTTTCACGTTTAACCTGAGGAACATGAACAAAACAAACACAACAAATAACCTTAAGAAAACTTCGTGAAGGATTAAACTCGTACAAAGCTTCAAATAGTGTTTTATCCTTCAATGCATTCGTTGGAAGTCGATTCTGCATTAAAAATACGGTATGTGCTGCCTCTGCCCAGATATCTTGGGCAACTCCTTCTCATGCAACATACATCTAGTCATCTCCATCATCCATATATTTCTTCTTTCACTAACACCATTTTGTTCTAGTGTGTATGGTGTATTAAGTTGATGCACAATGATGGCCTTCTCACAGAATGAATTAAATTTCACTGAAGTGTATTCCTTCATATTACCAGACCTCAAATCTTGAATCTTACAATTACTTTGATATTCCACCAATTTCCTGAATTTGCAGAATACACCATCAACTTCTGACTTGAATTTCAAGAAAAAAAACCAACACATTCTTGTATAATCGTCAATGAAAAGGACGTAATAGATGTTACCTTGTAGTGATAGAGTTCTTTGAGGCCCTACGACATCAGTGTGAACTATTTTTAGCTTTTGTGAGGCTGTCAAGGTTGGATTTTCAAATGGCTTTCTATGTTTCTTACCAAATTGGAAGGCATGCCATTCAGTGGAATTAGCTTCAAAATCAGGTAAGCTCTCCACCATCTTCAACTTTTGCACTTTGACAAGCCATTGATAATGATAGTGCCCGAGTCTCTTATGTCATAACTCAACAACATTTTCTTTGCTGAATACAACATTTTCTCTTTATCAAATGGATATAATGACAATCTTTTACCCTTCCATTTTAACATTAAACAGGTCTTGGCTTGAGGGATCCTTGATCAAACAATATTTATCTTCATAAAAAAGTTTGAAACCTTTTTCTAACAAATGACCAACACTTAACAAGTTTCGGTCTAAGTCTGGTACATAAAGGACATTTTTTATGTTTTTGTACCTGCTTGTGTTTCAACTTCAATAGTTCCAATTCCGTTTACTGGAATGTGACCACCATGGACAATTCAAATATTTGCAACTTGAGTAGGCTTCAATTCTTTGAAGAGTTCTCTATCATGAGAAATATGATTTGTGTACCCGCTGTCAATCAACCACGACTTGCTATAAATCTTGCTTGCAAAACATGATGCAACAAATAGAGCATCCTCCTCATGTTCATTTATAAATCGAGCATCTATATCCTACTGATGAGTTTTTTTAGATAAAATGGTTGCTTTTTGCCCTAACTAATTAAACTTACTACACTTAGCTTCAGTACTTCTCCAACACTTGAAAGGTGCGTGTCTGATCTTGCCGTAATGCTTACAAGGAGGGTAATTTTTTTCGAAGATACTTATTTTTTTTTGTTGCATGGTGCACCTTCTCCATCTGTTGGTTGGTATTTCTTATTCTTGTTTTTCTTATATTGTCCATCATATTAATGTTTGGCAGGTAAAGCTCCTTCAACATCTCCATCTTTTTTTATAATACGTCGTTGCTCTTGTGCTTGAAAGGCACTTAAGAGCTCTGTTAGTGTAATACTAGACAAGTCCTTAGTTTTTTCTAAGGTTTTAATGGTCTCCAAAAATCTTTGAGGTACATTTACAAGGATTTTCTCAACTATGCTTGAACCGATAAAAGTGGAACTCAACAATATGATATGATTGGCAGTGTTAAGAAGTTGGTCAGTGTATTCCTTTATGGTTTCACCGTCCTTCATCTTTTGCAGCTCAAACTAACATACTAAATTCTGCACTTGCATCCCTCAAATTCTCTCATGTCCTTCACACTCAACCTTAAGATAATCCCATACAACATTTGCCGATTTAAGAGACATGATACGAGTGAAGACAGTGGATAAAACTGTAGCAAATAAACATGCCTTTGCCTTTAATTACCTAATTTTCCTTTCTTGGTATTATTTATTTTCACAATCTTTGGATTTTTTGGCAAGGGATAAGATGATGTATTTTTGTTCTATAGCCTCCCAGAGATCTAAAGCTTCCAGGTATGCCTGCATTCTAACAGCCTAGATTTGATAACTTTCTCCACCAAAAGTTTGTGGTGCCATTGAAGAAAAACTTGCTTCTCCGTTCATGGTATTCACGAAATCTGATTCAAGCCCACACATAGAGGTCCCTTAATAAATAAGACTTTGATAACAATTGAAGGTTTTAAAAAACCTATTTAAGCTAAATAACACAGGGAAATCAAAGCCTGCACCTAAAACAATAAGATGGAAGAGAACATAATTGATGCAGAAGAAGAGCTATTTTATTAATGCTTCAAATTATATATATAAGTCTAGAATGAAAATTAAAAATAATAACACATTATTTAGAAGTCACTAAACAACTCCTAAATAATAGGAAAACATGACTAACAACTAATTGACGAAGTCTTACTTAAAACACAGGCAATAAAATTAAATTTATTGCAATTAAAAAGCATATTTCTAACATTCTCTAAGATAACCCTCAAGTTACAAATACTGCAATGTGAAAGTAGCATCCCATAATACTACTCCCACTAAGTGCTCCTTGAGGATTCCCTTAGATTAGGCACACCACATTCATCATTCATAAACTTCATCATACAAGACATAACCTTAACATGCTTTCTGAACATTGACATTAAATCTCATAACTTCATTTACATCACATAATGACCCATTCATATAAGGAAACACCAAGACTCCCTCTAAATTCTTACATGTGCAATAGGTAGATAGTGTCCCATACCACCACCACCATAAGTAGTACACCCTTTGGAAGACTTAGTTCATTATATTCTTTTGTGGGGGCTCACATTAACCAACATAAACCATGGGAGCTAGACATGGAATCGTGGTATTAACCCCTACCACGTGAGATATCCCCACTTGCGTAGGGTAGGGTCATTCTTCAACCTTTACATGGATTCTCCATTATCTACTCCTATGCATACACATAGTTAAGGGATGAGGAGATTGCTTCTAAGTAACTAATTCTCTACTAATGAGGAGTACTAATCTTAAGAGGTACATTTTATACAAAATCTCAACTCAACAAGTTTAACCACCTCTTCTTCAAATCCACTTGGTGCTAAGCATAATCCCCCACAGAGTCATAAACATTCATTACTACAAGTTATGGAATAAATATTTCATACCACAACTCAACGCACGAAGGGTTTCAATCCTCCAACCTATTTTTAAAAGATCTTGAATAGGATGGTTGCTACTAAATACTTCATCCAAATCACGAAATGTGTTCACCCCAAACCCCCCATTTTCCATACTATAGGAATAGTAGGGATTGTATAGACACTTCATCTCTGCTAACGAAGAGTGTCCACCCTAAAATCCCTTATTCAAATTCATTAACTTCATTCATTCATTCAAAGTGTGTGTGTGTGAGTATATGTGAGCTCACCTTTCACATAATAAATTTTTTTATTACATTGACTCCTAAACATACTCATACCTTCATTCATTTAGGGAGGGGTTTTGGATATTTGAAAATGAAGTCTAACCTTTGTATAGGAGTATAAACCCACTTAAAATGCCCCTAAGACACTAAAATAAACGTCTGTGTTTCATAAAATACTTGGGGTGAATTTACTAAAACACCTCGAGTCCAGCTATGTCTTGACAGCTTTTGTATTTGCTAAACGACGGCCCCTTGCTACAAGGCGTCGTTTGATAAACGACCCGTTCTATTGGGTCATCGATTGCATTAGAGAATAATTTCATTGGGGATAATCTCCCATAACTAAGTGTGGGGCTACGCCCAAAACGACGGGGTGTCACTAGGACTACGGTGCATTGATGAAGAGTCGTTGTTTGGGGTAGATCTAGCAGATTCTACCTTACTAATCGGGTCCTCCTCTAGGTCCCTCATGTGTCCTAGGTGGAGTCATACCTGAACGTTAAAACCCTATACATGGTCATTTAGGTCTTATAAACCTCCAAAATCAATTTGGGATCCTAACAACAATCATAAAATGTCAAAGCACACAAGAAAATACAAGAGCACATAGACGTCTAGTTGTCGAATGTCTTGGTCATCCCTTGATGTTTGACTTCAAAACTCATCAAAACTTTACACACTGCCTAAGAACACCATAATTAATATTTTTATGACTTAAAAACCTCATGACACACATGCTTTATTATAGTTTAACCTAGTTCATTATGAGGGCCATCATAAGAAGATAAAATAGAAGAAGGAAAAGGGAGAAAGATCAAGGTTTTGCCAAGAACGCGAAGGAATTGCTAGTGGAATTCTTCGGGGTTATATCTATTAAAGTATGTCAGATCATGTAGTGTTGGGTTTCATCCACACACCAACTTGTTTAATTCGTTGATTTTGAGTAGGCTGAATGATGAAAAGTGAAGTTCTTAAAGAATATTATTGAATTCTTGGTTGTTGAGTTGATGCATGTCTAGAGTTGATTGGATTCATATTTTTAGGTGGTTTTTCTAGTAAAATTTATTGGTTATGGAGGTAATTAGTGATCTTACGTGTTTCAAGAAAGAACCATGGAGGTTTAGAGGGTTTAGAGATGAAAAACGGAGAAGAAAAGTTTAAATGCCTATTCGTAAGGCTATGGTGTGCCAGGCCTCCAATAGCCTCACAGGACAGTCTCCGTCTGTAGGTCCTTAGGGATCTCTTCCAGCAAGATCGTCCCAACTTGGCCTCTGAATTTGGGTTCAGGCCCCCCACTCCTCTCAGAGCGCCCACAATTCCTTTGAACCCCATTTATTACCCATCTTTCCGTACTATTTTCTAAGTGATGTACCCATGTTTCCTAATTGATTCCAACACTCTAGGTTACATCTAAACATCATGAAATTGTCCATAAACACGATATATGAACCTTTAATCCATAATCCAATTCAAGGAATGTAAGATCAAAGTCAAAGAATTTAAGAGTTAAGTCTAAAAGTTAAGAAGTAAGTCAAAGCGAAGTTCTTAAAGGTTTTCAAGAGTCATTACTAAATTTTTTTAAGATTCAAGTTACAAGTTAAGCAAAGAGTAAGTGACATACCTCAAATATCTTGCTAAACCTACTCTAAACATGATCAACAACATTCAGCAATAGATCTACAATCAATTCAGATGATAAAATTAAAAAATTTGATCATTATCCAATAGTTCCAATGTTTTATATATGAAGATATCAATTCTAAGTTATGTATTAGGACTCGTAGTCCAATACCCCTAGTCTAGTATATGTAGGATTCTTAACGTTAGAGTTATGTTATATTACATTTGTATGCACATTTATGGTATAAATATAGTTGATGATGTATAAAAGCTTTCTAAGTAATGATTTATTTCTTACATGGTATCAGACGTCCAGTATTGCCCATTGCTAATCCAAATTTCCTTTGACCCTATTGTTCCTTTGAATCTTTTCGAATATTTTCAGGTGATTTGGCTTCCCATCCTCTTTCAATTCCATCTTCTTAGATGTCTCCTTTTCCTTTATGTACAACTATTATTGCACATTCAGTAGCTTCTTTAAGTTCTATTTGCAATATTTCATCAAGCTCTTCTCGTTAGCCTTTAATGATTCCTCTGTTTCCTTATTTAACATCATTGGTCTATGTACATTCCTCTTCTCCCAACATTTTTCCTAGTTCCTCTATGGGTCAAATTGGACAGACCACTCTCTTACCT